AGTACAGATGTGTCTGAGTACAGATGTGTCAGTGAGTACAGATGTGTTTTGAGGAGAGATTTAAAAGTAGAGACTGAGGTGGCCTGTCGAATGTTGATGTGCAGATTGTTCCAGAGTTTAGGCCCATGACTGAAAATGCTCGACCTCCTCTGAGCTTCAGCTGATTTTTGGTACGGCCAAAAGCAGCTGGTCTGATGATCTCAAGGCCCGAGAAGGAGCATAAGGATGAAGGAGGTCAGAGAGGTATGAGGGTGCAAGGCCGTTAACACTTAAATGTCAGCAGAAGAATCTTAAAATCAATTCAGATCACCGAGCTACCACAGCAGCCCTCTGAGTGGAGCAGAGAGCCGCCATCTAGGGTGTCCAGGGGAGCAGATCTTGGGTGTTAAGGGCCTTGCTCAAGGGCCCAGCAGAGTGGGGCAAATGAGGGTGGAGGCAGGTGTGGGTGTTTGGATGGAGTAAATCATTTTTAGCTAATCAAAGTCAGCACATCGGCGTTAACAGAACCATCTCTGAACCCAAATCCATTAGTATGGGTGCCCCATAGGGACGGGTTAGCTCATCATTTTTAGTGTGTCCAATGATTGTTGTCATCTTGAGAACTTTGTTTTGAAACTTCCTGGCAAGACTTCATTTCTTAGCCTATAGCTCACAAATTAAAAGTTCATTAGCCTACTTCCCTTTGATGTTCAGAAAACTGAAGAGGATCAGATGGATTATAATTTGTTTTACTTAAAAATCTTGCATCTCTGGACAATAATGGACACTATACAACTAAAACAACGAATAATCAGTAATTGTTGTAAATGACTATGTAATCCAACATAAAAACATAAGTGCACCTGAATAAATTAAGAGGAATAAACTGATCTAAAAAGATGGGTTTCAGACTCGCTTTATGAATAAAATGGTAAATAAATTATTTACCAAAAAAGGAATAGGCTGAAGCCGAGGCTTATCCTTGCCTACCCTGTTCATAGACTCAGCAGTCTACATAATGACAGATACCTACCGTCCACATATAAGTACACATACAGACATTTACCGTGTATTTAAATATGCATGTATATAAAACATACACATACTCACATTACATACATGGTTACACAATACATACAGTGAAGAAAATAAGTATTTGAACACTCTGCAACTTTGCAAGTTCTCCCACGTAGAAATCATGGAGGGGTCTGAAATTTTCATCTTAGGTTCATGTCCACTGTGAGAGACATAATCTATATTTAAAAAATAACAGAAATCACAATGTATGATTTTTAAAACAATTTATTTGTGTGTTACTGCTGCAAATAAGTTTTTGAACAACAATTCTGGCCCTCAAAGACATGTTGGTCCACCTCTAAAAAGTCCACCTCCACTCCACTTATTCTAAATTAGAAGCAGCTGTTTGAGGTGGTGAGCTGCATGAAGACACCTGTCCACATGAAGACACCTGTCCACCCCACACGGTCAGTGAGACTCCAACTACTAACATGGCTCAGACCAAAGAGCTGTCCAAACACACCAGAGACTAAATTGTAGACCTCCACAAGGCTGGAAAGATCTACGGGGCAATTACAAGCAGCTTGGTGAAGAAAGATCAACTGTTGGAGCAAAGATCCAGTCCCCCGGCACAAACAGAGTAATATTGTGTATGTTGTTCAGTGTCAGGAGGGTGATCAGTCTTACATCGGGGAAACT